AAAAATAACTATAATAAAATATAATAAATATATAGAAAAAGATACTAAAAATATAATATATACTAAAATAATAATAAAAGATAATAACTAACTATAATATACAAATAAAATATGATAATAACTAATAGAAAAAATAAAGAAAAAGAAATCCTATTACATATTCCCTCCTTAAAATGCGAGGTCCTCCGAAGCATTCTGATATTAAAATAAATTTCATTTATCAATTACTATAAATATACTATACTATTTTTAGACTTTATCGACAATATTCTAAAAGTTTCTATCAGCTAATCTTTTTAAAGTTTAACTTTAAACTTTATCAACAAATCATCATGGCAGATTTCTATTTTTGATTTGTAAACTTGTTGATAATTAACAATTATAGTAATTTATCACTTTAGATACTATCATGATAAATTTTGATTTGTGTAAAACTTTTCTGTTTGTTTGGAAAAAGATTTTTAATTCATGTTTGGAGTAGCATGACTCATTGTTGTGGCTTTGCTTTGTAGTGACTGATTATTGATTGTTCAAAAATTTTCTCACTAAAAAATTTTTTTTTTTTTTTATAAAACTAATAGGTCCATCATTTTGCTTCAACAATTTTTCCCAAAACTACCTCCACTATTTCAAGGTTATAATTATTTATTCTTTTACTTTTTTCAACTTCCACTATTCATGATTATCATACTAGTTCATAGAGAAACTTTGCTTTTCCACTGGATCGCTTGGAGCAGTTATTTCGATAATTTGACTCCTTGGGTGCCCAGGTTAAAGCGAGAAAGAATCGTAGCTCAATACTCAGTATTGTACAGCTAGCCTTTTTTACTTTTTGTTCACGCTTCCTCCTTTTGTTTTCTCTATTATGAAATAATATTTATAAAATTTTTGTCGCTATTTTGTATTTAACTAAAATATTAACAAAATTTTTATCTATATGCATATATTTTAGCTAAAGAAATATCCCTTGAAAAGTATGGCTTTAATGTTATTCAGACCTCTGACTCCTCTTTCTTGACTTTCACTAATACTATAATTACTCGTCAAGATTTGTTCACATACATCGGTTCTCTTCAAAATACTATAGCTACAGTTACAAGTTCATTAAATCGTTTGGAGAAGAAAACTAAGAAATATTCTAGTAGTTCAAGTTGTAAAAGGTGCGCACTTCTTCATATCAAGCTAAATGATACATATACGGAACTCAAGAAAAGAAAGTCACAAAAAGAGATGCTACAAAAAATTAAAGATCTCGAAAAGCATGTGATAGATTTAGAGAAGAAAAATCTCCGCCTCCGATTTTTGAATACTACTAATCAAATAAAAGAGAAGGGCAAAGAAAAAAGAAAAAAAAAAGAAAAAGATAATGATAATGATAATAATAATGATAATATCATTTAATAATAAGTAATTGATTCAATAATCAATATATAAATATATATATATATTTTTTGTTTTTTTGATATTATAAATAAAGTTTTTGCTAAATAAAATAAAGTGATATTAATAAAATAAAAGTTATTTTGTTAAGATAATAATAATAAGAAAAGAAAAGTAAAACAAAATATTATATTAGCTAATAATTATAGTAGGTTCCTATAAAGTCAATCAAAGTATAATTTTAAACGATTAGTATTAATTGTTTTTTTTAAAATTTTATTATCTATAGAACAAAGTTTATAAGCTTCTGGCACAACTATATTATGGATATAATAAGATTCTTTCTATTTTTCTCTAAATTTATTATCATATATCTTGGCTTATACTGATCGATATAATAGTACCTTATCCCCAATATGAAATAGAACTTCCTTAATATGCTCATCATATTCTTCCTTTTGTTTTTGTTAAGCAGATTCAATATTTTGTTGGGCTTTTAACTGAACTTGATGTAGTTCATTTGTAATAAGAT